TTTTGATTATTTTGCAGCAAGGGAAAGCCAAGGTTGTTTGGAATGAAAGGCATGAGAAGTAGTAACCCTGTGGAAAAGGATTAAGTCAACAGGTTGCCTCTAATGAAATGAGCTTGCATGTGATGCATTATTTCATTTTTTGCAATAATTGAAAATGATAGATTCGTAAAATGGAATTGAATCAATACCAAAGAAAGTGACCATTTCCAAGCARCCCCCAGGTTCACTAATTAGTCAATTAGAGTGTGTTCACATGACCTAAACCCCCTAGGTCKTGTTTTGCTTGTTATTTTATGGGATTTTCTCCTTTGTGCATCTTACTGCTGTTGCTGAAGAGGAGAGGAGCTTGAACCACACACACACAACAGGAGCTGCAGTGCCAGGTAGGCCATGCAGCACCCTCAGCACCTCGGTGGCTTTTTTGAGAAGCTTTTGGTGTCTCTTATGTTTTCTGAACTAAGACCCATCATATGTGTCCTCCCAGATGGAGTTATTGCCCAAGAACAAAGAAGCCACTCCTAGCCCAAAGGATTTTATTCCAAATAAAGCACAGGGTAATTCCCATTAGCTGCATGCGCAGTGAATGACTTGTAGTGAAGCTGGCCTTGTGTGAAAAAGTTACTGTATTYTTAGACTAGAGAATAAAAGAAAATGGCATTTATGGCTTAAAAATTCCAGCTCAACATATATATGTTCCTTGTTCTAGTGTTTACCTTGAAAGGGAATTATCAAACCCTCCTCACAGATTTATTTAGTTCATGGCCGTCTATGGCAACTATCCAGGGTTGACATATTTAATTGATTATACAAGATAAACTCTAATTATATGGCAGCCTTCCAGTTTTAACAATGCTATGCTGTGTTTTTGGATTGATTTCTTGTTTAGTTTGCTCTCTTTCTAAGCATATTTTTTGCTTTTCATCTTTGTTTTTCTCTAACACAATAGCTGCTTTTCTCTTGGAGTCTCTGATCCCCCCCAGATGCTTCAGGAGGTTGGAGTATTGTTATAAATAAAGTAGCAGGACTATTATATATGCATCTTGTTTCTTCTAGGTATGATCTCTTCTATCACACAAATATTTTCCAGAAYTTGAGGGTTTTTACTTCTCTCTGAATCCTTGGACATCCAGTAATCCCCTTGCAATTTCTGAGCACTGACTTAAGTCAGATATATTGTATGGGCATTGACCTATTTTTACAGTGCATGTGCTATTTATCTTTATGGCACAGAAACAGTTAAGTCCAAAGTCTCCTTTTTACTTTTCTTTTGCTCTTCAGCTGTTTCCTATGTCCTCAATGAGCACGATGCACAAATTTACTGCATGGAGAAAGACTATTCCCTTAGGAAACCATGGCAGAAAGACAGCAAGGTTARGAAAACATAATGACAGAAATTCCTTTCTTTAAGCAAACTTCTTTTATGTTTCTGTTTCAATAGAATGCAATTACACATGTTCTGAAAAAGTCTATTCCAAGTTCAAGGAGATCCTTTAAATTAGGGAGTAGCGTTAGGGCTGTCAGAGCAGTGGATCAGACTGCAGGATTTCYAGCTATCTCAGAACAACAACTGGCTTAGATGTTTCTTTTAATTTTTGCTAGTTGTTGGTGATGTCCTTGTTTATTATAGACTACAGTGGTTTTCAGAGGGGTGCCAAATAACTACTGCTTTAACTGGCTGAAGATGTACTAAGATTTTGATATAATAGCATGTCAAAAGCTAAGTGAAGCCTTTCTCTGCAAACTGGAATGTCTCTTCTATAACTACTCCAACTATATATGGGCTGAATATGCATATATGTGTGTATATATCTAAGATTCATTCTCAAACCTCTTTGTTCTGTTAGGTTGCTGATGAAATAAGTAACTTCTGGGCCTTTCAGAAAGCAAGGCAGTGGAGGAAGTGAATTTACAGTGRTATATTGGGAGTTCAAGGTGCYGCCGTTGGAGGAGCTGCCGGTGAAYTGGGTGCAAATTGGGATCTTGCTAAACCCAATWCAGCCTCRGTGTTTGCAYGTGGTGAGTGCCCRGCTCAGTGCCTGCTGCTTGTGCACAGAACCTGCCACTTGATCTTCAGGGTCCGAGCAGCAGACCCTCTCATGAACTCCTCGTCAGTCCTACAGGGTCACGTTTCTCTTGGCAGTGTCGCGCTCACCACTTGTGCAGATRGTGAGTTTGCCCGTGTCTGACAGACACCATTCCCTCGTGCAGCCACACAGGGCCAAAATGCCCTGATTTTGACAAGTATGGAATGAGGATGTTAATAGCAGCTCCCTGAACAGCCTTTTCTGAGGGAAAAATGACCCCATGAGTGTGTCCATGGTGGCTGGGCACCCTTATGAGACAGAGAGGCTTTGGGTGGGAGTTCAAAACTTACAGCTAATGAAGCAGCTTGCTGTGATATCCAACAGATAATGTCTTTGCCTGTCAGGTTGGAGTGTTTGGCTAGGTTTTAGGACAACAGTGGGATAATGACCCACAGTCTTGCTCCTTTGTGCGCTAACACAGCTGCTTAGTTTGCTTGTGAACTCCTATGTACTCTTACATAAGGTCAAGTATTGCAAGTCTCTTTGGAAACAATTCCCGATTTCTTTCCCACTTAACAATCATATTAATGACAAGTAACATTGAACTGGTTGCACTGAAAATAAAGTTTCATTTTTAAGCTGATRTCTTTATTTGAAATGGAATTGTTAATAGCCAGAGGTTTCACTGTCAAAATTGATAACTTGGGCTCCAGAGAAAGAGTTGCAAGCGACMTGGAACTGGTCAGGAGAAAAGCACCAAAGAGGAGAACTCTTTGGATGACTTGAAGTTACATCTTGGCAGCTTGTTTTAGGTACTGTCCAAGTGCTTCAATTTGGAATAATTAATGGCAGGGGTTTGGATGCAGCTGCATGGATGTGTAATACACTTGATTCTTTGCTATGCCTTGGGTTACAACACAGCGAGCAAGTTGTAAGCTGAGCTGGAACAGTCRTGTTGGATGCAATTATTGGATCATATAAGCTATACATAGATGCCCAATTWAAAAGATCTCTGTAGTTCTAGATCCTTTGATTGTTTTTCCATCTCCCTGTGCAGTGAAAGTTATCCAAGCAAAAAAATGCGGACAAATTGGAAATAAGGACAAAACCAGCTGCTGTTAAGTAGTAAATCTAGACTTAGGCTAGCCTTGAAACTCCTCTGCAGCGTCTCTGCAAGGGACAAAATGATTTATCTTTCCAAGGCAGCGGCTCTGATGTTATCTCGCTCGCGGTGCGGCTTTGAACTGTGACATTTCTTCTGGCTTCCACATTCATCCCCATTCCCAGCTCCGTGCTGAACGAGAACCCCATTCAAATCRGCAGAGCCTCTTTTGTCCCTGCTATTCAACCTTTACCTTGAGGCTTCTTTTCTTGTGTGAAAGTGTTTTTGTGAAATGTGCTCCATTGAATTTCCTAATCATTGCTGAAAGAGGAGGGGGTAACATAAAAAGCAGGTTTTGATAGCTTTATCTCTGCAACAGAGAGCACGTTTCGACARAAGGGATCTATCTGATGTTGACTTATATGTTTTAAAAATTGTTGTTGGTTGAGASGCGCTCTGTGTGTGTGAAATCATGAAGGTGCATGCTGGAGGTGATGTTCTAACCTGTCCAAAGTCAAGGTTTAATTTTTAATTCTTTGATTTTAACTGTGCCTAGGTTCTGACCTTTCCTTTTATGTCATTTTCTCCTCTCAAGCTAACAGGTGAATCAATATGTGAGTAAACACATTTGTGGAGGTGAAATGTGAAGTGAAGATCTTCATCTCATGAGGATCATGTCCCCTAAAAAAAAAAAAAAACAGGGAAAAGTCTGCTAGCTACATAGCGAGCAGATAGATCAGTTAGTGCTCAAAGACTTTTCAAAGATGAAAATTAAGTGATGGAGTATATCAAATTATTTTTTATTCCAACATCCTTAAAGAAAGATTGTGGAACTTTTACCTCTTGTTTATAAGGAAGTTTTTGGTCATTCCCATTAACATTTTCCTTTCCTCCCCGCAGTTGTACCAAGACAAGGCGCTAGCTGAGCTCCTGCGTGGCTGAACAGGGCAGTGGCTAATGRCAGGATTAGTCTCTCTCCTTGGTTCACAATAATTAAAAGGTGTTGAGCTAACGAGATAAAGAATTACCTGTGCTTAGTGAGAGGAAATTATTGCAACAATCCCGAAGATAAAGCACCTGTGAAATTACGTGGAAAGGCAAGAATTGATTTCAACTGTGCTAATTAGTTTTCATTTTCTGACCTGTCCGTTTACTCTGGTAAATGCAAGAGGGCTTTTAGAGCCCCTGTTTATCCCAGATTCCCATATGGTCCGGGGGTTTCCATGGGACATGATACCAGCCCAGCAAGACACTGGTGAGGACTGGGCACCTGATGACAACTTGTGCTTGGGTGAGAAACACTGGGTACAGTCTGGGGCTGTTGGAGTTTCTGAAAACTCTGCTAGAAAAAGGCTTATTTTGAAYATAGGAGTCATTGAATTTCACCGATTCCCATGGAATCGGAGGCTGGGCAGGAAGTAACATTATCCCCCAGCTAGGGAACGTGGCTGCAGAAGCAAGATAGGGGCTGAATTGTGCTTGCAGGGCTGCGTGACTCCCAGCTGGGACCCACAGCGTTGTCTCCATCTCGAGAGCAGGATTCAGTCCACAGTGAGTATCATGCCAGTTGCCTGTGTTAAAATGCACCTAGAAAAAATGACAGGAAACAACAGCGGGTGCCTTTTGTACAAAAGGATAAATAGAGCCTTTTATTAACACTTTGCAGCAACGAAAGTGACACGGTCCACATCTTGTTCATTAAACAGAGCAAAAGCTATGGTCACATTTTACATCACTTTGAGGCACAAAGCAAAATATTTTGTTTTTCTTAAGGTCAAGGTATGATTTGCRTTTAAAAAGAAAAAGAAAAGGAGAAGAACCGATCCTCAAGTTGTATATTGCGGTAGCAGGGTTTCCAATCACTAGCACGATACAATGAACAGACCAAGAATCCAGGATGGATTATTACATACAATAATAATCATTTGATTGAATTAAGAAATGGATTGTTGTTGTCATCGTTTTAGAGTATTAAGAAGTGGTCTGGCGTTGCTAACTTCAGTTTGGCTTGGCTTAATCCCAGCAACCCCAAGTATATACAACAAGCTAAATGAAGGTTAATATATAGACTAGAAGGTTATGCACTTCATAATGCATTGCACTTATTGCTTGGTACACTAATGTTGCAGTCACTGTTGAGTTCTGCTGACAAGACAAGCGCGATGCTTGTTGGCTTCTTTCAACCCAACACTAGTTTTTTGCCACTTTGGTTTATTGTGAATTTCTATGTTATTCATATTCAGTGTCCATTAGTATTAGGTTTAATCCCAAAGACAAATAAATTTATTTCAGGGATTTCTAAAATATCAACGTTTTCTATAATTACAGTCTCTTCAATAAACTTATATCTATGTATACAACTGTGGCACAATGTGTAAAAATATGAACGCTATTAAGGGAAGAATAAGGGTTAAATTCCTCTGTCTATTGGCTTCAAAATATTCTGYAAAACAAATACATCCTTTTCTTAGGGCTATGTGCTCGTAGTAAACTTTTTTTCTTTGGAATTTTCTATAAGACTATATCTTTTTCTAGGTTATATTTTTTCTTTCTTTCTAAAGATACCAGTACAAAGCTGGACTATTCTGCAAAGAAAAGAATAAAGCTTTTTTCTTGGCAAAGGGATTTGACAGTCTGCGTGAAAAGTCAGACTTAACATTACATATTGTTTTTATACTACTTGGTTAACGCAGGGAAGAACATGATAATGCCTAGATTTCATAAGATCCTGTAAGGAATAGAAATAAGAGTTTGTGCCCAAACATTCAATATAAAACTTCTAAATAATTCTTTTATTCATCACAGAGTAGCCTGCAGCATGTAATCACGATAAACATACAATATGTCCTATTTGTTCTTTTAGGCTCGATCCAATCGCCGCTAAGGCAGTTGGATCAGTCCCTCCTAAGTGCCTAGGACTCAACCTTTCTGCTTTAAGAAAGCTCTCGTCGGAGGCCAAACACACAATTCCTACATTGCACTGAGTAAACATGTGTATTTAACACAATCTCTTTCAATACAGTGTAACAAATATATAAGTGCATTCATTTTCAATGATCAAGTAATTTGGCTTTCTAAAAAGAGTATTAGATGTGCCAACTTAGTTGCTTAGTTGTGCTTTAATCCTTAGTTATGAGTTTGAGCTCATATATACTGTAAGTATCTAGTTGCCTCTATAGTTTTGACCAGTAAACCCTTAAAACTCTAATGTTTATAGAACAAATATAACCTAATGAATGTGATGACATGTCACAACTCATACAGATTGCACTTGAATGGATTTTGTYTTTTTTACAGTAAGACCTTCCTGTCTGATATGTGTTTACATGTTTATACCACATTTTATTCCTGTGTGCAAACAACCACAATGAATTTAATCACAAACACTACAAAAGATACCCAATATTTAGGTCTGTTAGGAGTAATCTCCTTCCTTGTAGTTGTATGAGTCTCGTACTTCCTCTTGTACAAATTCCTCTTTCTTCTCCCAGCCGTTAGGCCAGCCGCCGTTGACCTGGGTTGTAGCACCGTAGGACTTGGCCGTGCCATAATTAACGTAATTCTGAGTAATGTCCCCTGTCTCTTCATCGAGTTCATCCTCGTGAATGAAGCCACATTTCTCCTCGCTCGTCTGCTCGGGGTCTGCCCAGGGCTGCTTCTCTCCCGAAGCAAATATCCCGTAGAAGATCACGCCTCCGTAATGAACCAAAGCAGCAATGAGGAAGACGTACTGCCACTCTTCACGGGTCTGTAAAAAAAAAAAAGATATTTCCTAGGTCAGACCACAGTGTAGATGGCCCTGAATGTGCTGAGCTTGGAGTTTAAAGCAAGGTCGCATGGTCAGCATGGTCTACAACATTTAAGTGTCTAGTTTTCGGTTACTCGTATGCATTGTCCTTAGCAAAATCACTGTCCAAGTGTTAATCCGACTTCACTATACTCCAATTTCCTATTCATTAGCCCACAAAAGCCTTGATATGCTGAGGATATAGTGCACCGTGCTTTAAATTTGCAAGTTCTGGGTGCTATTACTTAGAGGTCCCTAGACCTTAATACAGCCACAATTTCTGGCAGGCTGTTGAGTAGGAAGGTCTTTTTCTTGATGCTAATCGTATTAAACGGAAAGATTTGAAAGCCGTATTGCAGTTTACCTTGTTCTTTGTCATTGCTCCAACAATTATAGGGCAAACCATTCCAGACAAGGTCCCGACTCCATTAGAAATCCCCATTAAGATGCTGGCGTACCTTGGGGCAATGTCTAAGTGGTTGACATTGAATCCTGCAATACAAATGTCAGCAAACGTTCATACYGCGAGCCCTCCCCTGACAAGTTTATTGGGACGTATTGGGGCTGACTAATCCGATTGCTTTTCATCTAAAAGGCTTAAAATGGCTGAAATAACCTTAGAGTACCTCTGGGTTTTCATATTCTTTAAAAAATATGTTATAATATGATGCAGAATATATTTTCTTCCCCATGCCTTTTTTTTTAAATCACAATGACGACTGTGTAGGGTTGTGAACCCCGAAGATACATAGGCAGAGGTAAAGTTCAGATTTCCCCAGTGTCAGTGATGACCTTTTTAAGGTGCAAGTAGCAGGTKGAAATGCAGAGTCGCTTCCCCTTCCAGCTTGTCCCCTTTTTATTGCTTATTGTCCTTATTTTTCTTTTTGTCACACAGATTAGTCGAAGGAACTTGCTGTTTTTATGGGAGAAGGGAGGAGGAAGGGATTCATCCACTGTTTATTAGCTGCTATATATTTGAATGATTTAATATTAAAAAAAAAAAAAACTTTTTTCTTTGTATTTCCGACACCTTATCTTCAAATTCATGCAGTAACTATTCAAATAATCTTAAAAACTCTGGCACTATGAAGCAGCAGAACCCATCATGCCCTATGCAAGCAGTTAAGTGCAAGCAGACAACAAATCTTTTTATACTGGAAGATAATAAATGAGGAAAGGTGATAGGATACTATACTCTTCAGCAGAGTACAGTGCACTTTTTAAGTGCTATAGGCATGGTAAGGTGTAGAATAAGAACATAGGATTAAGGACAGATTTGATTAGGAGAGTTTAGATGTTTGGCACAAAATCTAAAAAAAAAAAAAAAAGAAATAGAAAAAAAGAAAGAAAAAAAAAGAAGTTTTTTGAGCCATAAGTGTGGAAGAGGATACTAAGATCACACAGGGAAGAGAAGCAAGGGCAAGGTGGTTTGGGTGTTGGAAAGGGAAAAGGGAGGCTCTGRCAGCAGGAGGGGGGAATAGCTGACTTTGAAATACTTAAAAAAATGAATAAATAAAAATAAAAAATACATTTAAAAAGCCAGTTATCAGATGATTGCATAATAGTGAAATTGCACAAAAGAGCAACCAATATATAGCATAAAAAAGGGGTAGGGTGCCTAAGCAAATCTATTGATTTATATCTGAACAAATATAGGTGTATATTTAAGTATTGATATAAAATATCAGTTCATTTGTCTTATACATTTAATTTAAGAGAAATATATGATGTACATTAGCAGCTCATYGAAAAAGAAGCCTATTTTTCTGCAGTGAATATGAAAATAAAAAGTATTTGAACAAAAATAATGTCCTGCAGAAGATATATCTATTTCCCTTTGATTTGGAATGATTCACACCAATATCATTTAAAATTCAGAATTGTAGGTTAGGTTACTGTCAAGAAATAAGAAACAAATGAGAAATTCCTTCTCTTAACTCAAAATAGTTTACTAATAATAGCAGTATAATCTTACCAGATATGGCGAATCCACTAAAGCCTACAGCAAGCACTAAGAATGAAATAGCCACTCCTTTACTATGAGAATATCCCACYACCAGAAGGAGAGTTGCTTCCATACCAAAACCTTGGGAAATCATTAAAAAAAAAAAAAAGAGTATCAGATTTAATCATCTCTTAAAACCGGCAAGCATTTGGGTATCATGTTTAAGAGGACAGAGTGACAGGCATTTCYTCAGGGTGAATTAAAATCAGGCAGTTCTCATGTCCATAAAACCCCATAAATTCTTACATTTCCTTGTAAGTTGACTTACAGTTACCTCCTGTCAGGCTGAGGGTGAAATAGAGAGTTGTGATTAGGTTATCCAGGTAGTTCCCATAGATCCCGGTGGGAATATGCCCTTACCCTGCTTGTGCATTTTGAAGTGGCCCTCACAGCTGAGTTTCAGCTGGTGTGGCTTTAGATTCCTATAGCTTGGATATCTAGTGACAGTTGGTTTGGGGGGCTCTCTTAGGGGCCATGGAGTTTACAGGAGTAACTAAAATGTAATAAGTAGATAAGGGTAAACATATTGCCCCCACAAACCTCATCTGCTTCCTCAAGCTCCTAAGGGCCTTTTGAGGAACCCAAGTATTGACACTGGCTGTAGGAACATCTTTTTCCTCTTATTTAATAACCACGTCTGCAATCCCCAAAAATTACTCCATGCAAAGTGTTTTTGCTTAAGAAGTATAAATCTATACAAGGAACTTTGTTGATGAAACAGGCAAACTTACCTCCACAGTTCATGATCTTCCTCACGGTAGTGGTGGAAAGAATCTGTTTGCTTCTTAAAAAGTCAGCAATTTGTCCCCCGATAGGCACAATAATTGTCATCACTAAATGTGGCACAGCAGATAAGATACCCACCTAAAAGGGGAGTTAGAAAGCACAGGGTAGAAATTGTAAAAAAAATACCCATTTGATCAAGTGTTTGTTTTTTATGACTGTCTGTCAGCCCCTTAAACTCCCTTTTGAGCAGATCTTGGCTCATATGTGTCTTCATGTTGGTCGGTGATGTGYTGGGCATAGCTTTGCCCAGCAAGACTAACACGCCCAGACATTTGAGGCCCCTGAGAGGTTGCCCGTGGCTCGGCATCGTTTGTGGAATGACCCTTTGCCTTTGGTTTGATTGAATTGTTTGTAACTTTTTCAGTGCAGTACCACATGTGTAAAAACATCCTAAAACCAAAGCACCAGCTTAGACCAATTCTGCTCTTTGAAGCTGAGGGTGTTTCTGGAAGAAATCCAAACCTGATCCTCTTTGCAGAAGTCATTTCTTTCATTTCTTCTAGGACTTGTATTCCCAGACCACCTTTAAATGCAGAATATTATTACCTAATTGTGAGAATATCCCCCCACTGTTTTCTTTTAGCTACTAAACTTCTCATTGTCACAGCAACTTTTAGGGTCACTTTAGTACCTCCTAGAACCACATCAAAAGAATATAGGTGTTTCAAAGGCACTTTAGCAGAAGGGAGGTTGTATTTGGGGAAAGCTTAATGCCTACCCTTGAGGTTTGTTTGCATCTGTCCATATTCACCTCTATCCGTATTCACCTTAGGGCCTGATCCAAAGTTCCTATCAACCGCGTGGATGATTTGGATCACCCCTAGCTTTCATATTTGGCTGCTATCTGTTTCCCTTTCCAAGTAACTCATGGGATAAGCTTTAAGACCTGTAAATCCATAGTAAAGATACATAGTAAAGATTCCTTCTCCCAATCAAGACCACAAACACACCTGACATTTACTTTTCGGAGATGAAAGTTTAATGGCATTTTTATGTACCTTGCTGATTTCAAACCCGAACACTTCCTCAAAGTACGCCGGCTGGCTGATGAGTAACAGGTAAAAAGTCCAGCTCCGACAGAAGTTTGCAACAATTATTGCATAGACTGGCATAGATGTAAAAAATTTCCTCCATGGAGTCTTGTATTTCTGAAACRTAAGCATATCTGATTAATATTTTGATCACTATCACCTCTATATCCTCTTTTTCTATGCTGAGCTTAACAAGTGCTGCCAGCTCAATCCCATTCCGCTGTACAACCATGGATGTGCTCAGTCCAAAGAAATGTCTCTTTAAAGCAGGCTGGGGCTGTAGCTAAGGCAACAGGCAGATTTTATGCTCTGAGCACACGATTTCATCCAGGTTTATTTTCAGCACATATTTTAGCATCTAAATCTTAATTCCAGCGCTGCACTCTCAGTAATTCTGCTTACCAAGTCTCAGCTGAAGCAGGTCGGGCAGTGTATTTTTGCTTGGGTTTATTGTCTCTCTGAAATGAATTGCATAACAAGTGAACTAAAAAAGAAAAAGATGACAGATGGGCAGAGCTACAATCCTGCTGGGTCCCTGCACCTCTCCTCGAGCCCAGGGTTGAGCCAAGTGCACGATCCAGCCCCACAGGAGTATTTGGAAATTGCTTCAACAATATTTCGGGGTGCATTTGGTCCCCCAGGCCTTGAATCCTGGCTTTTCCTCAAGGAAACCCAAGGAATAGCTTTTTTTTCAGTACCTTTTAAATTGCGTTGGAAAGAGAGAGATTGAGCGAGACGTAATTATTGAGGAGGCAGCCAGAAAAGCTGACTTTGCGATGAGTTTCAGCCTGAGTATTGCAAGAGTATTTCAGTAACTATTAATATAAACTAATTGCTTCCAACAATGTTGAATTAAAAAGCACCAAAAAATATTAAGTAGAAAACAACTAGTCCGTGGTAGAAGTATGCTTACTTCTTTTGGGCTATCTTCCTACGTGTGAGATTTTCAAAACCAATTATAGCCGTAAGAAACTGTAAATGCTGGTGAATACTATGAAATATCGGCCCAGATGCTAGCTGAGGAACACCTGAAAATGTGAGCTGCTGAAGAAGTGAGTCTGTTAAGCACTTCCAGTTTCCTATTTAATCTGGATAACAGCTTTTCGTTAAGAGGTAATTAGATTATTAGGCTGGTTTCTAGCATGGTTTCAGTCCGGACCACCCATCGCTCCCAGAGGCAATTGCTGGTTCACAACTTCGCAGAGACCAGAAACCCTTTACGGTGGCATGTTCATTTGCAGCCACCCTATCTCAGTTGCTAAAAGAATTTAATATTATGGTAGGAAACCACTGCACGCCCCTTCCTCCCAGCCCGCGTGTATACGGTGTGTATATGATCCATACGAACACACACGAGCTTCTGCTATGGCTGTTTGCAAAGTAGGTGGAGTGACAGCACTGGATCTCGGGGGAAGAAACACCATCAAATTTACCSAAACTCTGTTAATTTTCAGAGGGAGAGGATTGAATATGCTGGATCTGGGATAAATAAGAGGCAGCGCTTCCCTATTTCCTTTGAATTTCAGTAACACCAAGGGACAGAAGCGTTGACAGCAGCCTAATGGATCTAGTTGGCTAAGCAGGCGTTGGGCTGGAGGTAGAAGCAATGAACATGTCTTGAGGAAGCAGTGGAAGGAACATGAAGGACAGCTCATAGAATAGAGAAGCTGATGGCATTTTCCCACTTGCTTGAGAACAGTTTCCCACAGCCCTGCCGTGACTGAACCTCTAGAGGTCCTGGGACCTCTATTCTTATTACGTAGAAGCAAGGTCTACGTTTCTTAYGTGAAGTAGGCAGGAGTGTGATATTCTTACCTCCATTGCACCTAGGAGGTTGGCACTCTCTCCAATGCTTTCTTCTATATATCTCCTTTCTTCGTCTGTGATGGTAGGATGCGACGCGGGGCTCTCGTAGGAGACCAAAAGCCAGAACATGTACCAGACTATCCCGAAGCTCCCTTGGGAACGGAGAGAGAGACTTTGAAAAGAAAAGAAAGAAATGCACCCCAAAGCAGCAAACAAGGCAAAAAGCTGTGGGTGATTCATTGAATTTAAATTCCTTTTTCCTCGGTTGCATTTTTGGCTTCCAAGGCCTCGACAGCAGGTTTCTCAAGGGGCAGCCTGGGGCCACGCAGCGTGGGCGCGAGGGGAGCCGAGGGCCGTACCGTACACGTAGAAGACCGACGACCAGCCCGTGTACTGCACCAGGATCCCTGCCAGCGGCATGGCGATGACGGCGCCCGCGTAGGAACCTGCAAAGGAGACGCCGGAGCGCTCGGTGTCCCGACGTTCCCGCGCGGCCCGCGGGCGGGAGGCGCCGGCGGAAGGTTGCTCACCGCAAAAGGAGGTGGTCGCCAACCTGCTCCTCTCCAGCGGAGGGGCCCACTTGCTCCAGATGCCGTGGCAGGCAGGGTAGGTGACCCCCTGGGGAAGGGCCGGGACACTCGTTAGTTAATGCTAGTTAATGAGGCAGCCCATCACCTCTGTGCAAACAGCTATTTCGGAGCTCTCGCGTGCAGACCTAAAGCATGAGGACATCCCGCGTTGCCGTAGCGCGGCAATAGCCATTGCTATAAAGCTGATTTCTTAATTCTTACATCATATAAACATTAATGGGTTCTGAATCCTTAAAGAAGCCTTAGGAAACAGATAAAAAACACAGTTATCCCCCTTCCTTCCCTGTGTTTGCAGAAAGAATAGTGCGGATGCAACAAAGAATCGTTACGCACAGGTATCAAGGTCAAAGCTAGGATCAAAACAGAGATCCTCAGGAGTCTTCCTGATGCTGGTCTCGTTTCTTCAGCCCTCAGTAAATAATCTTGACTCTTGATGACCTCTTAACATTTAAACTGCAGTATATGCGGTTTATATGCATCCSTATATGCATATATGAATATTTTTTTCCATTGCTCTAAAATGACGAAATAGAATCAAGATGCGCTTAAAAACATAAGGCTCTAGGAGAAGTTTTCCACTATCTCTATTTCTRCTTAACCTTTCTGAGTGCTTAAGGCAGAGAATTAGATGTTAATTGTTGGAATTTTAAACCAGTTATGTTTTTGCCTCCCTTCAAAAGCAGCTTTCATCTTAAAGGTAGGAAAAAAAAAAAAGAAAAACCTTAGAAAATGTAATATGAAATCTAGAGTATTTTTTTATATAATTTATGCCTAGTTATTATGAGATCTGCATGGTTCTATAGAAATCATTTTTTGCTTWATTTTCCTTGCTAAGCTTTGATTCCAGTTTAAAATTACAAACCCAATTTTTCTCAAAAGCTAAAGGGTGTTTTTTTTGTTTGTTGGTTTGCAAAAGCCCACAAAACCAGTTTTTATTCCATTCCCTTTATCCCATTTCCTATCCCATTTGGCCCGTACCTCTACGAGGCCCTGCAAGATCCTCACGAAGATGACGCATCCGTAGTGCACCCTGGCCGCAGATGGTATCAACATATTGAGRGAGGACGTCAGCAGTATAGCAGCACCAAACACTCTGCAAAGGTGGGGGGAAAAGGAAGGGAACAGCTTCAGTACTGGTCAAATTGACTCATTTCACATATATTCACATTTATATATATATTTATACACATGTTCTTTTTGTAGGAATACACAAATCACTGGCCTGGATTAGCATCTACTTCCGTGCAGTGTAATGAGACCCAGACCATCCACGGACATATCCATCTATTTAGTGCTATTTCCTCAGGAAATAAGTCTTAGGCCATTCCAGGTCTATATTGGACTATCCTTTCATATACACCCTCTTTTCTTTAGTTAATTTTCCAATCTGTTGGCCAGTTTCAAATCTGATTGAATTCTCCACTCTCTAGAGAAGGTAGAAATTCGATCTCCAAATATTCTGACAGAATAAGTGCCTGGRTATAAGAGAGTCGTATTAGTGCTTGAATTGTAAGAAAGTGCTAATGTGCACTCCCTTCTTAGAAAATAGTATCTGCTTTTATAAATCTGCTTTTATACATGCCAAAACAGCAGGAATATTTTCAAAAAGTACTATATTTTCTCAGGCACACCAGTCAATTAATCTGGAGATGCATATTCATAGAAAAGAAATCATTCTTTTTCTCTGCTTTTTGAGGGCTACTTGTTGAGCGTTTCTTGGTTTGTCTTCAACAGCATCCTGGGGAGTGCTCTGAATAAGGCCTATCTGATGGTCTAAAGAAATATGTGAGACAGTGATTCATTTTCCAAAATCCAATGTTTTGCCTAGATTCTCTGTTTGATTTAGGACATTTCTACCCCTTGCAGGAGGAAGCCTTTTCTTCAGCATTATTATACATTTTTTCTTAATGAGTTTATTCCAAAAAATACAAAATAATCTTATTTTCACTTTTCCTTTTGATGAAACAAGGCAGCATTTTTTTCACTTTTCCATTCACGGAAGCTGCACAAGGCTTGAACCTGGGAGCAGTGCCTGGCCACTTTCTTTACATGAAACTACGTTACGCTAGGGTAAATCTTGGTGACTTCTTGACGGATGACACCAGAATTTCTGATGTGGAACCAACTTGACAGAAACCTTCAACCTTAGCTTGTGTTTTTTAGAAATCGGTACCGTGCCATAAGTTAGTGGGAAACAGACCTTAGGCTAAAGAGACAGAAAACAGGGATTAGTTTCCGAAAGAAACTTCCTCCCCAATATCTCTGTTTCACATTATCCATTTAAAACTGCCACCTGGTACAAATCCTTAACCAGCAAATCAAATAGACTCCACTTCCTGAGTTTTCCATCTGCTCCCCTCCTTGGGCTTCCCTGTGCTCCCCACCTCCTACTAGATAAGGTCCATGCCCTTTAAAAGTGCTTTGATTTTTTTTTTAATAGTAAGATGTTCCTTTCTGTGAATTCCTGAAGAGCAACTGAATTTCTGAAAGCTATAACTCTTCCAAATGAAAATTCCACTATAAAATCCATGTTTTTCATGAGTGGGAACAAAGCAATGTTTGTAAGTTTGTAGGTTTTTGTCTCTTAATAGCTATTCAGCTATATGTCTTAGGCAACACCGTATTTTTAAGTTTGTGATTGGCATCAATTTGGTTGACCAGATTTTAGGTAGTGTGAATCAGTGAAGCTCTTCCTCAATCACGATTCCTGTTAAAATTATGCAAAGATGGAGAGGATATTAGAAATCGCCAGCTTGTAGGGATGAGATTTACCAATCTATTTATGATACATTAATTGTTTCTTCAAGGAATTTTACTCATCTCTCCACTCTATAGCTGAAATGCAATTCTTTTTGCCAGAGCTGAAAGATGTATTTCTCAGAACAGCTTTTGCTCATCAAAGAGAAGCTGTTTGCTTGAGCTTCTCCCTTTGAGAAGAAAAAGGAAAATATAATTTAAAGAATATTTGCAGGCACACATCATAAAAAGGTAGACCTTGACTGTTTTTAGACACCCAAGTAAGAGTAAATATTTAGTTGCATGAAGTACTAGGCAATGAAATAATTCCACGGTGTCACTTATATGTCACTTGTGCATCACTTGTATGTCATTTCTTTCTCAGAGCTATGTTCTATTGGATCCAACATTTTCAAAATCCAGTATGTGAAGATTTTTATTCCAAAGGTATATGGGTTTAAGGGTAGGGCTTAAGAATAAAGCGAAGTTATGCTTCTTGTCAGAAATGGCAATTTTATCCTTTTTCTTGCACAGAAATTAGAAAAAGTACAAAATTTTAGTGCATTGCTATTGGATAACTCTCGCTTCCAAGTAAATATGTCTCCCTTTCCTTTGCATCTCTCAATGCTGACTGATTTATGAGTTTTATCCTAAGTCTTTCTCTTTAGTGGTCTTATTTCACTTGCTGCCATTATTTTTTCTCTCTAAATGCTAAAATCTTCCTAACAAGGTGTTGTGAATTTGTTTTGCCTCTGAAAATATGCACGTTTGCTCCTCTTAGATACAGAAATAATCCCAAACATGGGTTAGAAAGCACAACTTAGTAGTTCTAGGAATATTGTCCTCCACTTAAATATTTACTCAATTATTCAGCTGCATAAATCTGATTAAAAATGTGACAAACTGTATGCCTGTTAAAACCCTATTTTTCTTCCAGATCCCATTTGCAATTAAAAATGGGTTCAGTTCCTCTGGGGACAGACATGGTTCATCTATTTAAACCAGAACTTTCAGCCTGCGTGGGGCTGGCAGTTCCTGGCACTCTCTGCTCTGCATTTTTAATATATCTGTCTGTGTGTCCTCCTCAGGTCCTGAGGCCATCACGGTGCCTGACTTTTTGTGCATTTCCCTTGTTTAGCCCTTATTTTGTTGTGAAAGGAGCCAAGTCTTGCTGTGTGCAGTCTCCCAAGATGAGATGAAACCCAGCTGAGGAATGCCGCGTAGGATGCAGGTTAATTTTTGTTTAAAGCAGGAACATATGTTGGTCACACTCCAAAAGTGCCTAAAACGCCTCTTAGTGCCAGGTGACAAATTTAAGAGCCTTAGCAGGTAGAAGGTAAGCTCCAGAAAAGGTAGAATATAGCACAAGCAAAAGCAGGAGAAGCTGAGGGCATTTCCATCATTCTCAACCCTGACACTAAGAGGGAATTAAAATGACCTGACGTGCCTTCAACAGTCCCTACACTTAAGGGAAAAGTCCTTTTTGACCTCAATCAGCAAGTAACATAACCATCTACAGAAGAAGATAACCCTATGTGGAAGAAAATGAATAAATAGAAATAATAGTATGTCAAGGAGGGGGGAAAAAAATAGAAGTCCTGGCCCTAGGAATGAGCAGAGGAAGCCTTGAAACAAAGAATTCTGCTTTGCTCATCTGCCTCTGTGTGTAGACTCAGTAGGCTCGGTCCCTAAAGAGAAAACCTAACACTGTTCTTCAGTGTTTTACTGACATTGGCATTAAGTGAAGGTCACGAGCTGTGACTTACTCCTTCTGTAGTACAAGGAGTATTAATAACAAAATCATATTTGACTAAGAGGCGTTTGGGATGGGAGCAGAGGGAGGAAATGACTCAGGAAGGACAGTTCAGCAAAGAGACTTAGAAGGGAATGAAGTTGCAGCAGAAATGGATCTTTTTCAATCCAGTTGGCTATTATGTTTGAGGGAAAAACTGAAGGCAAAGAAGTTATTAATTAAAACGAGGAGTCCAGGATGGCAGCAGCATCCTTTTACCTCAAGAAATGGGAGAGACAGTTGCTCCCATTGTAGTGACTCCAGAAAGCTAAATCCTTTTTCACAGGTGTATGGGAGACAGCTGTTAGAAGCCAATATATTTCTGTTGAGTAATACATTTCTATTTCTTTTTTTTTAATATGATTGACAAATGCTACGACTAGTTATGTCTCCTTGTTCTTTGAGTAAAGTGGTCACGTTTCATGGAAAAGAAGCCTAATAGTACGCCAAAAAGCTTGCCCTGTATTAAAAAAAAAACCAACAGAAGAGTACCTCAGTATGTTCAAAACAGAATTTTTGGACATTTATTTCAAAGGAAAACTTCTTTAGTTTTAAGATGCTCGAATGTATGCTTTATAAATGAAGTATGAATGATGCTAAATCCCAAATAAATGAAAAAAATCCCAAATAAATGAAAATCCCAAATAAATGAAAAACAGGAAATGCTAGTAGGTCACTGAGGAGTACAAAACAAGTTTCTAAGTCTTTTTCATGGATTCCCTTAAAAAATAGGTTGGCATTGAAGGTTTCAGTTCACTCTTTCTGATAATCTAAGCAAGGTTTTACTGACTTTGAAAGGAAATTCATGCAGGACTAACCAAATAGTTTTAACCTTTGAGAAGCGGCCGATCAACATTTTGCTTAAAAGACCTATATATTGGAGCAGCAAGTTTAATTATTTTATTTTCCTAGGGAAATGAAAAGAGGAAGGAAGAAATTCACCCTGCTAYGATGAATTAAATCAGAACATCCTASGGAGTTTTGCTCTGMCTGTGAACAGGAACCTCTGAGCAGTAGAACCCACATCCATTTCTGGCCCGTACAATTACTTGATTTTGCAATAATCCTAATCACATTACAAAGGGCTTTATTTTCAGAGAGTAAGGAATTAGTACTGACCATTTTATTTAAAATATTACCTTCTGCCTTTTAATGAAACATCTAGATGTTTTTTAGCCATTCAGTTAGTTGTTTTACCACCCCATGGATACTTGCTTGCACAGGCCTTCACAGGTCAGTGCCTTTCTTCAGCCCTCCTCATGGACACGTTAYTATGGATTTGGGAAACGAAAATATTTAAAGACTCTTCCCTGGTGAGAATGTTTTCACACTTATTTTTCCTCCTCATCTGGTGGTAAATGAGCACAAACCGCAGCTATAGGAAGCACCGCGTACAAACTGAACCCAAGGCCTCCTTCGTCTGGCCTCCCCTCTTCCCATGTATTTGATCACCCTCCTATGTATTTGATCACTCTGCCTCTTCGGCTTGAATTTCAAACCRGTGGTTTCCTTTTACAACTCATTATTTCCACTTATGCCCAGATAAAGCTCTGCCTCRTTCTCCC